AGGATGGAAGGATCCTGTTCATATGGACCTGTCGTCAGACAGAACACTAAATAAAAATTAATAAACAAAAATTCGTAAATTATCTTGTGCCATAATCATACGCATCTGAAACAGCGTCGTCAAAAACAATGTTTCGTCGACAGCTCACAAGAATGTCCACGCAACATATTCAAATCACTTGTTTCCATTTATTGTGAAAAAAATAATTCCCGATGTGATACAGGGTGATCTAAAACTCTAGCAGAGGAGGCTGCCGGGGATATCATCTCCAGCAAAACATGAATTGAAAAAGTTTCGCAGATTCGCCACCGTATCGGAGCGACGTCATTTTCACGTGACGTCGCTTTGAATTACGGATGTAAATGCAATTACATAATTATAACCTGAATAATATAGAACCGTCGGGGTGGAGCGCAGCGACGATTATCGGCGTCACACCAATATATTTTGACATGGGTCATTTCGTCTCTTGCTCAAACCTTGACCCACAAACCTGCTATTCTCAATAAACATATTCCTCATTGTCCTCAGGTCCTCCAACACGCCCGCAGTCATGCATTACGCGGCAGACTTTACAATTTCCAAGAACGCTTTTCGTACGCAGAAGTTACGTAAACTCGCAAGGGACGATGTCCTGCGCATGCGCAGGACTCCGCGCCTGCGCAGAACTCCGCGCTCAATTAGGTTTTTGTTTTTAACTGGTTGACACACGCTTTAGTCTCTGAAGGAAGGAATAATTAAACCGACGTCAAAATTATCTCGATTACATTCCTTTACGGACACTCAACAGTGCCAATAACAATTGACATCTTCCTCCTCGTGAAACACCGCTCACAAAACGTCACGTGGATCCACACTTTTGAATTACGACCACGTGTCCGTGAACTGACATGCGCAGGCGTGACACAGACCGAACCGAAATCAATACAGTCAGCGCAGAAGGTTTCAGAACAGAAAGAGTTCGCAGTTCCCGTGTAAGTGTCTACTTTAAAGGAAGTTTTGCGTTACGCCTAGAAAATAACTCCGTAACTACTCAAGAAAATCACGGGTGCTAAACTGAACTAGGTGGGACAAATATGCGGAAATTCATTAGAGAACTTCCTAAGACCATTTGCTTGAAAATAAAAGGGGAATCTAATACAAATCGCTGTCATGAAACTGCCTTTCCCGTAAATACTTCGCCCTGCGTAAGGTCAGGTCGGTAGCCTGTGTCGTTCTGCTCGTGGCGCCACGCATGCGCTGAGAAGACAGCAGTGTCGCCATCTTAAATCTGTCTGTCGACAATCCACATTTTAAATCACAACGTGTGCCTAATTCGTGTACAAAATATCTGCAGATACAATGACCAGAGTACGTGTCAAAAGTTCTTATACCACGCATATGGAGGTGGCGTGTTCCGTCGTGACGCGGGTCCCAAGTCAGCAGCAGCTAAGTGAGTGCAGCTTTCAAGTGCCAGGCTGAACTATGCACACCGGTTGTCAAGACGCGACGTACAACGCTCATGCGCTGTGGTGTCATCGTACTGGGGGGTGAGGGGAGTCTGTATTACCACGGCTATTTCGCCAGGATCACAGCTGAAATTCTAGGTTAGGCAACAAAAATGAATGTTAAGCCTTACTTTTAAAGAAGAATTATATTTGGGTTATTCCTGTCGAACCAGAAATGTAGTAATTTACTTGATATAAAATCTCGTGTCGCCTGCATTCATCACTCATGGCTAGTTACGGCGAGACTCAACAATGGGCAACAGTTACATTAATTTGCTTGGGCGCAAACGCACATCAACAGAGAACGAAAATTAAAACAAGGCGCTGGAAAAGTATCACAATTGTTGCCACCAACGGTTATTCCAAATTATAAAACGGACGCGTAACAGAAAACTTTTCAAGGGCGTTTGAAGAACAGCTGAACCTCACAAAGTATTCTCGTGCCAGATCCCGAAGGCCTTAGCTCACGACAATTTCCGGACTAGATGTGCTCAGCGCGGAAGGACACTTGATCTTGCGCCTGCGCGCTTAACTCGGTCTTGCCTTACTGCGCATCGCTGTTCTTTTGTTTTAATTCCGTGTTTCATCTTCTTCTGCGCTGAAGAACAGTCCATAACTGCCATGTTATTGCGCGGTGTCCCAAGGACGGCCGCGAACTACATTTTTCAACTGCGACTCCATTTTTATTTTAAAACAAAATTAGGTTTCTTGAAATCTGTAGATTTCTTCTGTAATGTACGTTAGACTAATTCCTGTGTACTTCATTTAACGACGCTGTTCCAGTATCTCAGACTATATAGCGCGCAATAATAAATCAAAAAGGCTGTTGAAGGAAGCGATCGTGGCCTACTTAATTAGGGACTGAGGAAAACTACGAAAAATCTCGGTCTGCGGGCCGTGATTTAAACCTGGGACTTCCCGAATACGAAACAGGATGAAATCTACCGGACACAAGTTAAGAAAACGTCTATAAATGTCCCTTTGTGGATTTCCTTTTATATAAGCGCCGCGCAAGAGGAAAGGACCCCCGGTGGGGGGGGGGTTATATCAGGTAATTACGGCGTCAGGGATTACGCATGAGCAAGAGTTTCCACCCAGGTACGTTCCAGCGACGTAATCCTGGGGCGGCGCTGGTGTGGTGACTACGCCGATGATAAGTATCTGTGTCTGCACGGGGATTATTTGTTACCGAAGCTTTGGTGGAGGCTGAATTTATTAATTCAATATCACGAGCTGCAGTGCCGAAGACGACTAATTATATCAAAACACTTTCCCCTCAGAATGTTTAGCGACGCAAACCCTTGATTTTTTATGACAAGCGGACCAAAGCTTCATAAAAATCAAAGGTTTGCTCCACAACTGAAGTCAAACGAAGTCTCCCAAATGACGCCTTCTCGAAGTTTCGAAACTCAATTCTTGCGCGTGGGAATCAACATTAGCCAACATGACGGAAGTAAAGTCCGAAGATGGCTGTCTTCTGGGTTGTTGCG